AAAAAAAAAAAAAATTGAATCACATTGCGAAATTGGTGCTTTATATGACATCACGAAGTTTGTTCCATTTGATGATGAATCCATTTTCATCGTTGTCTTCGGAATCCTGACGACATCTTTACCTGACAGTATTAGAAGTTTTAACTTCAATCTAATGCTGCCCGGTAAGATGTGAACAGATACTCCGTACGCCGGCAGCCATCTTGTGACCACGTGGAGCGCGATCTTTGTTCTCTTCGTAAATTCTTCTCCTTTTAACTACATTTTCTTGTACTCTGCCGGCTTCTTCCTATCCTTCTTTTTTGAATTTCTGTTCTGGTTTGACAATTTAAACCTTATCAAAATTAGTAAAAAAATAAACAAATAGGAAATTAATAAGCAAATAATTTGTAAATAAAAAGACATTTATAATTAAAAATTAAAAAAAATTGGTATATTTATAAAATACTCATAAAATACGTTCATATTAATGTATAATACATAATATGTGTACGAAAAAAGAAATACACATTAAAATAAAATGAGATTAATAAAAAAAACTAGAGAGATATCCTTCGTTTATTTTTTCCGTTTTGTTCCGGCGAACACGCTTAAATATTACACAAAAATCCGAATCAACGATGGACGACGCCTGCATTTATATGCAGATGTCGTCATGGCGATATTCCTGAAAGCGAGTCCCGAACTGGTCATCGCATCAGAATAACTTTTAAGATATACATATAAGTAATGTGAAAATAACATGCGCGTGGTAATGTTGAATTATTAAATTTCTTTAATATTTTAAAGAGAGAGATATTAGATTATAGCAAATATCATTATAATCAATTAATATAAAATAGACTATATTATATCGTATTCGTTTTACTCACAATAAAGATTAGTGAATTCCAATTTGGATATTAATAAGCATTAGTATATAGCATATATGTGTTGCTCATGCGTGTGTAGTTCTCTGCGTATTTTTCGTAATATAAAAAATGATTATATAGAGAAAGTTATTTCTATTGAATAAAAAAGGTTAATATATATAAACTGAATAAAAACCGTTTTTGTAATCCATGAGTTAAGCGAAGCTATAAAAATAAATAACAGCAGTTCAATATTATTTGTAGGTAGTATCAAACAACTAACAATCGCATCAACGATTGCATTTCTTTATGCTAGTAGCTACAGACTGACAATGCATAATGAGCATTAATACGTGTCTTAAGAGAATGCTAGCATCGGCTAAATATATTTATGTATAAACTTTGCACCGTGTTCTACAAATTGATTTTTGTCCAAAGAAAGGTATGTGATAGCATAAATATAAATTTTTTCTCATCATTTTCCTCACAATTATAATTCTTTGTGTCATTAAAAAAAGAGTAAAAATTTCAATTTGCAGATAGAGTTAAATATAGAAAGCTATAGCCAAATAAATGTGAATGTACAATGTTAATGTGTATATATTAATTAGAATTTTTCTTGAAGTTTTTTTAAGAGTTTTTCTTATTTCAATTTATTCAAAGAACACTTGTTCAAACCAAAATCAATCTGTGTCAATATATCGATAATCTTGGTATTGGCATTCATCGATTTCAAAAAGATCAAATGTAACCTACTTTAAAATTTTTGAGATATAAAACGAAATAATTTATCTCTTTTTAATAATTATATATAATATAAAACAAAGATAATTATAATATAAAGAAAAACAAAATTTCATCAATTTAGCTTTTTTCGCATACATATTTTATTTAGAAAAAACAATTTATAATTTCTATGTGTGATTATTTTAAATGAATAATGATATACTTGAATGGTTTCACGTATGTTCCCTCTCTGCACTTTAAAACGTGATATGTATATATTTAACCATGAAATTGTTTATAATGTATATTATATATTATATATTGTTAATGTATATCGTTTTTATAATTTTGTTGTATTTACATTAATATATATGTATAATATCTAATACATCTACACACATTTTAGGTATAAAATGCTTGTGTATATTAATTGTGTATATAATAATTATTGTATTAAAGATATCATTATTATTGTTAACAATAAAAGAGATATTATTAATAATATATTTTTAATAATTATATTATTATTGTTTAATTATAGAATACCGTTTGACAACGGTAATACTTGAAACTAAATTCCGAAATTCTTTAAGCGTGCATGCATTTCTTATCAAGATATTATTAATTGATGAAACTGGAAATAACGAAATGACTCGTCACAAAAATAGTTTTACCGCATGTTAAATTAGAATGGCAAGTTTTCCAAGTTTCCAATCATTTCTTATTAAAGAAATACTTTATAGAGAAATTCATTAAAGAAACTGTAATTAGAAATAAAATAATAATAAAATAATACAAAAACATCTGGTGCGCTTTCAAAGAATATCATATAAATTGTAAAAAAATCTAGAAAATATTAAAAGAATCAACATAAGTAATGTCAATAATTAATTTTTTTTTACATAAACTCGTATCCAATTTTTCAACCAAAAAAGTTGTAGTTGAAAGAAAACATTCGTATTTCATGTTTTTGTGAGAAATATTTTGTATACATATACCCAAAATAAAGAAATTTAAGATATTAAACGAATAAAATCGAAAAAGTGCAATAAAGAATTTTTTATAAAAAGGAAGAATTTCTAAATTGATCAAAAAAGCTATGATTGAAATATTCCTTTTATTGAAAATGTTGTGTATAAAAGATAATAAACAAGTACTAAAAAAGTAATAACGCGCTTTAGTATATTATAATACATCTTAATTTTTCTCGACAGTTGCCGAAATGAAAAAAAAAAATTTTTGGACCGTTGAAAAAATGTCGACACATATTGTATATATTGCGTCGATCAAATCTGCCTACAACCTATATCACGAGATCTTTGATTCCACAGAAATGCAAGAAATAAAATGGATGCTAAATGAGTGGTAATGTCGGGTTGTAAGACACAAGATACGCGACTGGAGCTCCATGTTTGTTGGACATGCAAATGAAGCGTGTTGGTCAACATGTTGTATCATATGAATGACGTATATTTAAATACGCAAATGAGTCGCCGGATTTATAATCGTGTCTATAATAATATTAAAAAATATATTAAGTGGTCTTCCTAGTTTGACGCTCTGAAAATAAAGGCGATTTTTGAGAATTTTTTTTAAAGAAAAGTATAAAACATTAATTCTAAACTATGCACGTTTATTAAATAATATTTTTAATATATCCTGAATTTTTTTCAAACAAAAATATTTGTTTCGGAGTTATAGTAGTCCAAGCAGGGTGTCCAAAAAAAAATTGTTCGTGGCGAACATGATTCCAGCCGTTATAATCATCTGAAATAAAGAAAAACCAAAAAGGTTCTTGATCTGTACGAGTGTGGCTATCGTATAAACTAGAATTAGATCAATATTTGCAAAATTCGAATTTTGCGATTTACAAAACTAACCAATTTTTTGGTGAAAAATGAAATTTTTTTTTCATTTTTCAATATTTCTTTTTTATTCTAGTTCACGCGACGGCCACACTCATACAGATTAAGAATCTTTTTGTTCTTTTTTTATTTCAGATGACTATAACGGCTGGAATTATGTTCGCCACGAACAATTTTTTTTTTAGACACCCTGGTTGGACTACTATAACTCTAAAACAAAAAAATATTTTTGTTTAAAAAAAATTCAGAATATACTTAAAATGTTATTTAATAAACGTACAAAGTTTAGAATTAATATGTTTTATACTTTTCTTTAAAAAAAATTCCCAAAAATTGCCTTATTCTCAGAATGACAAACTAGGAAGACCTCTTAAGTCTATAATAATATATATAATTTATATTTAAAGAACTGATTATTTGTTACATTTGTAAAAAAGTTAGATATTGAATCGTGCGGTTTTCTTTTCTATCATTTTTACTCACGCTGTACACATGTGCGTAATGAAAATATATACACGTACACGTACACACACGTATAAATAACATATTTATGGTATAATACTAATACTAATATAAACAAGACTATCATATTTATATACTTGATTAGTATATTTATTTTTTATATTTATATCTATTTTTATGTAAAAAGTTAAAAATACTAGATATATTTTTTTAGAATATATATATATAATTAATACAGTGCCAAATAAATCTATATGGGAACATATTTTTCATTGAGGTTAGGTTAAATTATAAGATCAGGTTAGGTTGGAAACAAGAGACACTATCTCAATTATTCTAATGAGTTAATATTCAAAAAACTAATGAACTAACTGATTATTCAGCCAAACCCAAAAGTTTAAATTTTATAAATACTTTTACATCATGTATAAATTAACCATGTTTTTTTTCAACCAGCAGAAGGAAAGAGACAAACAGAAAAAAGCGGAGGGAGTCAAGCGAATAAGCGGGAAAAGATACCGTTGCATAAGCTATATTTAGCCGCACCTGCTGGCGCCAGACTATCCGCGCTCGCGCATGCGCTATACATATCGGTGGCTCTCGACGCGTTTCAAGCAAACAAGCCGATGTTCGTCTATCCAGCGCAGGATAAGAGCATGTTACCACTCGTCGTTCGCGCTCCAACAAGTTACATTAGAAGCCATATATAGATTTACATATGAAGTTAG